AAGAAAAAAATCCCCCTCTGCTACCCACCCCTGGCTTGGTTGAAAATGTGAGGGAAAGAGGAACAAAATCATCCACAATGCTGGACTTCCCTTTTGCTCGGAAGCCTGCTGTCCATATTTACATTTGGTGGCTCCCTGTCTTGTTTCCATGGTTCCATGGGAGAAGGGGAGAGGCAAGAGAGCATGCTAATAGTAATTAATGGCCATGAGCAATCAGTTGACTTTCAGCCCATGGTTTCCTGGTTGGGTGTCTATGGAAGGTGTAGATGACCCAGTGACTCTACATAGTTGTGTGGATGAAGGGGATTTCACAGCGTGTATGTCTGGTGCCGTAGCCCAAACCAAGTCTCACCTGGTAGGTGAAGGGTTTCCAGAGCTGGGAGTGAAACCTCTATGACAAAATGATAACTCTTTAGGCTTTCATAACTGAATGAGACTCTACCACAGAGCAGAGAGTAGGATGTAATCTTGTCAAGTTTTAGGAGACTAGAATTTCTCAACCTCAGCATTACCGCTTCCCTCACCAATTGGAGAGAGGCAAGTGGTGGCTTACTGTGTAGCCCAGGATAGCTTTGAACTCAACCGTCACAATGCTTCTGCCTCCCAAGAGCTGGGATTACAGGTAGATGCCAGTACACATGGCTGTAGATAGTTATTTGTGGGGGACTTCCTGTTCTTGTAGGATAGTCAGTGGCACCATTGGCTTCCAATTCCCTAGAAACCAGTACCACCTCCCCTTCCTCCATGGTTGTAACAACAAAAACATGGCACTATACATCCTGCTGCTAAGGGTCTTAATTTTTTTAAATAACTTGTTTATTTTTGTTTTATTTGCACTGGTGTTTTGTCTGAGTGTCTGTGGGAGGGTGTAAGATATTAGAGTTACAGACAGTTGTTAGCTGCCATGTGGGTTCTGGGAATTGAGCCCTGGCTGTCTGGAAGAACAGTCAGTGCTCTTAACTGCTGAGCTATTTCTCCAGACCTGGTGCTATTTGATACAGTTTCAGTATGTTTCCAAAGTTTCATATGTTGGGGTCTTGGCCTTGGTGAGCCAAGATAATGCTGAGCTTTTGGAACCTTTAAGAATGGAAAGTGACTTGGCCGTTGGGGATACTGCCCTGGGGAGTTGCTGAGGGACATCCAGTTTGGTCCTGGGAGAGTGAGTTGTAGAAGTTCAAGCCCAACTACAGAATGGCTCTGGCCTTTAGCCTTGTCATGTGACATCTTCTGAAATCTATTGTGGGAATTTGGTTGTTCCTTCTAATGACCAATGGAATGGATTGGGTGTGGTCTTCTCATATGTGACCCCTCAAGAAGCAAGGGAGGAGGGTAGGGTGCTCTCTCTTGGGCTTGGAAGACTTCATGACTCTAAGGTTCAGTGCCTTGGTCATGAACTTGCCTCCATCCTTTCCTGGTGGACGAAGAGGCAGTGACATCACTTCATTCTGTATTCATGTGTTATTTCCAGTTCATTCCTGTAGTAAGGAGACTGCTAGTTAGTTCCTGGCCGCTTAGCCCTGAAATAACCACAAAGATACTGTATTAATTAAATTACTGCTTGGCCCATTAGTTCTAGCTTTTTATTGGCTAACTCTTACATCTGAATTTAACTCATTTCTATTAATCTGTGTATCGCCACGTGGCTGTGGCTTACTGGCTAAAGTCCCAGCATCTGTTCTGTCGGGGACTATATGGCTTCTCCCCAACTCCACCTTTTTCTCCCAGCATTCACTTTAGCTCCCCCAGCCTAAGTCTGGTTTTTTTTTTTTTGCCCTATCACAGGCCAAGGCAGTTTCTTTATTCCTTAACCAATAAAAGCTACACATAGACAGAAGGACCTCCCACACCACACCCTTTAATAAATGAGCCTTGATGCAAGACTTTTCTTGATTGCCACTTTAGAAATCAATACTGCCATCGTGATGCTGTTCACCATGAGGCCCTCATCAGAGGCTGGACAGATGGGACAGCCCGACCTTGGTCTTTCAGTCTTGAAAACTGAGCTAAAGTATCCAATCTCAGTATTTCATTACAGCAACTGAACCTAAACTAACACGCCCAGTTAGGCAGCACACTCTGGAGTAATTAAAGCAAGAACTCTGGGAGTCATAGTGCCATGATTCCAAGCCCAGTGCCTCAACGTGTAGGCAACTCAAATGTGTCAACAGGTAAGGTGATTTTTATAGATAAGTGCTTTCCTTTTCTGCTGCTGTGAGGAGAAGCCACGACCAAAGCAACTTCCAGAAGAAATATTTTATTGGGTCTTGCTTACAGTTTCAGAGGGTTTGTGCATGACCATCATGGTATGGAATAACATCGTGTGCATGACAGCGGGTGGGTAGGCATGACCCTGGAGCATAGCTGAGAACTTACATGTTGAGACACAATCACAAGACAGAGAAAGAGACACTGAGGAAAATGTCTTGGACTTTTGAAATCTTCAAGTCCACGCTCAGTGACACACCTCCTCCAACAAGGCCACACCTCCTAATCCTTTCTAGATAGTTCCACTAACTGGGAACCAAACATTCAAATATATGAGCTTATGGAAGTCATTCTTATTCAAATCACCATTGTAGGCTGCAAACTAAGGCAATTAATCCTCCAAACCTGAGCAACTTGGGAGTGAAAGGGTTTCAAATAAAAATTTCAGAGATTGTGGTTGTTAGCAAAGTGAGTTCATAAATCCATATACCGCATTGAGCTAAAAGCTGAACCTGATGTCCCCTGTGTGACTATCTAGCAAAATATATCATTCACAGAGACTTCATTTGATCTTCCCAAATCTTATATGGTCTCACTGCTGGTGTCATCCCCTTCTCATACGTGGGAACACTGAAGAACAAAGAAGTCCAAAATTACACAGGGAATTGTATGGTCCGGATCGCAGTCCCAGCAGGCTAGTTTTGAAGCCCGTGTTCTTAACTAATGACCATTGGTGCTCAGGCATCTGAGGCAAGTTGTGCTACTCAGCATGTTCTATTGTACACACACCACTAGCCCCAGGGAAGCTCTAGGTTACCAACCTCACTCCCAACGGAGCATCTTTAGGAAGCAGCGTGTTCAGGGGGTGCTGTGATAGAGAGCAGATGGCACACACAAATCACTATGTAGTAGATGAGAGGCAGGTGGTGCCCAACCTGATGCCTGATTTTGAAAAGCTGGTCAGGGCTCCAAAGGTACAGCAGTTCCAGGAAGTTGTCTCTGCAGTAGGACGTGCAGTCTTGGATCAAGTTGGTCTTTAGGGGCACACAAAGGTGATATGAATGGAGAACGTTGCAGAGTCTCTGGCCACATCATTCAGCACTGGCAGAGCCCAGAGGGTGTTGGTAGTGATGGTCAGGCATGCCACCCTCGTTTGTTAATTAAGCTTGCAGATTCCAGTGAGGATGGACAGGAATAGTAGCTTTGGAAGCTGGCGATCTGAGCAGACAGCAGAGGAACAGCCTAGAAAAGCATATAATTCTACCTCTGGACAACAGATTATAGGGGCGGGGCATAAAAACCCAGTTTTTCCCCTCTGACCAGATAGTCAGCCACATTTTTTGGAACTGTGATATCTATGCTTTTCTGATTATCTCTTGTCCTTCTTTCTCATTCTGGGGCTGTTTGGGCTCAAGCACTTCATGAAATGCTGAGTCCAGGGTCAGCTAGTATCAGTCTTGAACTCCTTCAGGGGCATTTGGGTGGGGGTGGGGTAGTTAACTTGAAAAAAAAAACCCAACTAACTATGCATCTGGTGATTCCTTTTTACAAAACAGAGTACATGTGGATACCTACAGAATATGAAAGCATCACTTTCAGTTGTCTGTTCTGATCTCTCTCTCCCTCCCTCCCTCTCTCCCCATCTCTCTGCACAGAACCAGTATCTCTTGACACCAACCAGGCAGTTTCCAAAATCTCACCTACGAGAGATTTTCAATCTTTTTGCCTTTTCCAATCATGTCCAAAAACCCATCTGGCTCTGCTTTCCAGCTTGAAGCTAGTCAAAGCCCAAGCTGAGCCTCTCCTGACGACATGGGGTCTTCACCCCGCGTTAGAAGTCACACTGTGTCCTCACACAAGGGCAATAAGCAGGGGCACACATGCATGCGTTTCCAGACATCACATCAAGCTGGCACATGCCGTTCTTCAGAAACACACGGAGACAACCGCCAGGCAGAATGGGCAGAGGGAGAGGCCTGGGTGTGTGAGGAAGGGAGAGGACATGAGGTCATAGGTGACTGGAGTACTTAGAGGAGGAGGTGTCTAGACCTCAAGCCCCAAACACACTCTTCATTCTCCAACCACCTCATTTTCTAGAGAAGGAAGCTAGAAAGCACTGGTAGGTGGTGTGGTGGCAAGGAGGAAGTTGAGGGGCCAGGATCGAATATGAGTCACCAAAGGTCACCTTGGACAAGTCATTCTTGCTGAGGCTCAGTTTTCTCCTTTAACAAAATCAGACTGCCCTTGTTTTCTCATACTGGGTGCCTGAGGCACATTTACAGTTTGACTGTGCTCGGGACCTCTTTCCTCTCCTCCCCCTCCCTCCTGCCCCTCCCTGCACTTCCATGTTGGGAATCAAAAGGAGGAGGACTTCATAAGTGCTAGGTATAGGCTCTACTAAGGAACCAAATTCTCAGGCAAAGGAATTCCCATTTTACAAATAAAAGCAAACAAACTGGTGTACAGAGAGATGAACTCGCTCTAAAGTCAAATAAACTCCAGGCCATTACAAGTTGCTTTAATGCGTTTTGAACCACACAGGTCCATACCATTTCCAAAGTTCAACTCTGACACGCTTCAGTCAAGGCTAGCTAAATAGGTGGATGGATAAAGGGCTTCCAATAGTCAGTGTCTGTGAAAGGTAAAGAAGGCTGTACTGGGGGATGGAGGCAGGGATTGTTTTAGTTTTCGGGTTTAAGAGCTCTCAGACTGCCCAAGGGTCTGAGTCCTCTGCCTTGGTGGCCACATCCCCGCCCACGGTGTCAGGTTAGTGTTGCCAAGCACTTCCTCGTTCCGGTGCGCCCTGGACGCCGCTCCTACGCCCAGTGCCTGGGCAGCTGCTCAGGCGGGAGGGGGCCAGAGGGGAGGTGTCGCAACTGACTCCCTCCCTCTTCCCCCCCCCGCCTTGGCACTCAGTTACCTCGCAGATGAGCGCTCTCGCAGACTGCGGCGGGCGCCCGGGCGCCCGGCATGTCCCCTGAGTGTGCGCAGACGACGACGGGCACTGGCCCCTCGCTCACCCTGGACCACCAAGTCAATCGCACCCATTTCCCTTTCTTCTCGGATGTCAAGAGCGACCACCGGTTAGTACTGAGTGCCGTGGAGACCACCGTGCTGGGGCTCATCTTTGTGGTGTCACTGCTGGGCAATGCGTGTGCTCTGGTGCTCGTGGCGCGCCGTCGGCGCCGCGGAACGACAGTCAGCCTGGTGCTCAACCTCTTCTGCGCGGACTTGCTTTTCACCAGCGCCATCCCTCTGGTGCTCATCGTACGCTGGACCGAGGCCTGGCTACTGGGCCCCATCGTCTGCCACCTGCTCTTCTACGTGGTGACCATGAGCGGCAGCGTCACGATCCTCACGCTGGCGGCGGTCAGCCTGGAGCGCATGGTGTGCATCGTGCGCCTGCAGCGCGGCTTGAGGGGCCCTGGGCGGCCGGCGCAGGCAGCGCTGCTGACTTTCATCTGGGGTTACTCAGCGCTCACCGCGCTGCCCCTCTGCATCTTGTTCCGAGTGGTCCTGCAGCGCCTTCCCGGCGGGGACCAGGTGAGCCCAGGCTGCGTGCAAAGCAGCAGGTGTTGGGGCCAGCTAAGGTGGGGTGAGGGTGATCGGACTGAAGCTAGGAAGACGGTGATTAGTTACAGTAATAGGCCCTTTGTGGAATCCTTTTTGGCAGACCTACTGCCCAGTGCTCTGAAGTTTAATTTCGTCAGTTTCCCCACAGTGCCAAATGGGTAAGTAAATCCTCCCAAACGCTGTTAAAGGGATTCTCCCGGATTTTTGCAAAATGAACTGACAATTATAGGGCAAATTAAGCAACGAGAGCTTACATCTACAGGGGACAGCAGGGTGCAAGGTCGAGTTGCTACGTTCCGTCTAAATGTCACGCTACTGTTAACATCACACTTACTTCACAGAAGCTGGGACACCCAGCATCTCTCTTAGAGCTGGGCTAGTACTTAGAAGTACCTCCCCAAAGAGAAACCCCACAGTGGTGGGATGTCCCCTGGACTAATCATGTGACCCCCTGAACCCTCGATCACAGAGGAGAGTTTATTTTTGTCGAGGGGGAGGATGGATGAAGGCTACATCCTGGGTAAATGGCATCTTAAAAAAAAATCAAACCCTAAACCCTGTTCTTAGAAGTTTGTTTCTTGTGTGGAGTACTGCGGAGGCCGACGTTTGTCGGATAGTGACTTTGAATGAGCAGGGACCCAGCAGGCCTGTGGCACTTAATCAAAGAACATGTAAGCCTGTGGCCGCATCTCCCTGGGTACAGGAGATTCGGCCTGAATTGATGGGTGCTGCTGACCAGGAAGAGATCAAGGTATCTATTTTACTCCCGGCTAGTCCTTAGCCCAGCTATGCCTGAGCATCAGGGCAGGCCATATAGATGCTTCTGGAATAAGTGAATGTTCAGGCCTAACTCCACACCAAAGTGATCGGCTAGGTCCCAGGCATGTCCAGCCTGTATCCAGCTGTCTGTATGTGATACTAAACTATAAATATGGCCTGACACGGATGGCAATGCCATGCCACAGGCTCAGAATGGTGGGCACCCCAGGAAGAGCCAGGTTCTGCCATGGCTTATCTGTTTAAGCCGTTCTTCCACTGCGTTACAGCAGTACTGCTGATTTTCCTCATAGAACTTAAGGGATTTCTTGTTCTTGATACAGAAAGACTCTGGTTCCAAGAATTAAGACCAAATGGGATATCTTCAATTCCCAGATGTACTGTCCTTTTTCAAATCCATTTGGGTAAAATCCTATTTAGCTGGCAAATAACACGAAGAAGGAGGAAGAGGAGGAGAGGAAGGTCACATCACCTCCCAGCCAAACCCCAGACTGGAGCAGTACTACTGCGGTCCCTGGGGCTTGAGCAATGAGGACTTTGTGTTGTTCTCTGTGTATTCATCCCCCTGGGTGGGGATGTGTAGGACTGGAGCCTCCTAGAGCACCTCCAGGATTTTATTCCGGGGGCTTCTGTGGAGACCATGCCTGGAAACCTCTTGTTTTACTGAAAAACACCTTCTGGATTTCAAGGGTCGTGAGGGGGGCATTTGGTCAAGGCCACTAAGACAGAATGGGCTGACGCTGTTTTAGGGGTTCAACCTTAGTTGATAGGAGGTGATAGGAGCCTTAGTCATTGAAAATAGTAGGGTTGGGATGGGGAAACTTGTAATAAAAATGGGGCTTCTTCTGGCTCCCTGCCATTCTTGTCTTCTCCTCTTCCTGACTGTCTCTGTCCCTCTCCTCAGCTCTCTCTGTGTTCCTCTCTGAGCTTCTCTCTCTCTCTCTCTCTCTCTCTCTCTCTCTCTCTCTCTCTCTCTCCCTCCCTCCCCTTCCCCCTTCCTTTCTCGACTTTTTGAGACAGTGTCTGTGTTGTGTATCTCTAGCTACCCTGGAACTCTCTACATAGACCATTTTGGCCTTGAACACACAGAGATCCTCCTGCCTCTGCCTATGAGTGCTGGGATTCAAATCCTGGGCCATCATGGCCAGTTAACTATCCCCTCTCTTAGAGAATACAACTGTCTCCTCTTCTCTGAAGCTTTACTTCCCACAGTTTTAGCTTCCCTGGCTCAGTTACCCATGGACAAGTGAGGTCAGAAAATATTAAGTGGAAATTCCAGAAAAATAATCTTAAATTTTAAATAAATTTTATTTCAGTCTGTGGTTATAAATTGTTAATTTCTGGTTAATCTCTTACTGTGCCATATTCATATCTTAAAATTTAGCCTAAGGATGTATGTATAGAAAAATCAGTGCACATAGGGATCAGTGTAGTTCTGACTTCCATTATCTTCTAGGGGGTTCTAGAACATGTCTCCCTTAAGAATAAGGGGACCTCCGCATTCCATATTTTCTGTATTCATCCCAAGGGATCCTAACATGGAGAAATGTCCCAGTTCCTCAATGACTGTGGCCTGACATTGCGGGAAACATTCAATTTTATAAACTCAGCAGTTGAAGAAGTAAGAATGGGAGGGGGCAGGGTGGGCATAAGGAGAGTGAGGAGGAGTAACCACTTAAGAATGAAGATGGCAGAGAAGGATCTGCTCTAGTTGGAGGCAGGTTTCACGTTTAACATTAATTAGCAGAGCCAGGGGTGACAACTCATCTCTGTAATCGCAGCACTCAAGGGGCTGAGGCAGAAGGATTGCCGTAAGTTCAAGACTGTCCAGGGTAGAGAGTGAGGCCCAGTCTCTAAATAAATGCAGGAATAAATAAGCAAATAAATACAAATAACAGATGTCTGTTTTTCCAGTCCTTGGATTGACAGCTTCCTGCTTGTGGCTCATTTGCCTTGCCCAGTGGCATGCTACAAATGGAGGTTTTTGGATGAAGAATTATTTCCTTCCCAATAGCAGAGAGCACAGACAGCCTCCCCTACTCCCCAGAGCCTCTGCTGTCATGAGACCCTTCAAAGCCTTCGTCCATGTAGGCTGGGGTACCTTGCCGTCCAGGGGAGCTGATGGCCATGCTGGTGATTCTAACCTATTTAGTATCTGAGTGTGAGCTCTGGAGCCTCATATTCTGGAGCAGTTCCTGCTCCACAGAAAGCAAGCCTTCCCACCTCTACCCACAGTGCTCTCCTTGTCTCATGTATCAACTACATGAGATTGCCATGGGAACGGGTGTTTGAGAAATGAACCAACACCTGGTGCATCTACAGTTAAGTGCTCAAGAAATTACTAGCTATTATTAGTTTCCTTATCTTGGGGGCATAAGCATTTAAACATCCTTCAAACTGCGTAATTCTTCTAATTGCTGTAACCAGCTGCCGTTTCAAGAGGGTGGACACTTCTTAGCAACACTAACTTCTCAGTCAGGTCAGCTCCATCTACTCCAACAGGATGCCTGCCTGTTTGTGCTGTGACCTAGGCCTGGCCCTGGCCCGGTGGTGACCCACACGCATGGGTGGGAAAGACTATCCACTTTGGCTAGAATTTACGTCCTTTCATTCCACAAGCATTTGCTGGGCACCCTCCTCTGACCACCCACCACAAGTCACATAAACACACATCAGGAGGTGTTTTCACTAAGTGTGCACATGGGCCCAGATACTACCCAAGTCTGTAGTCTGGTGTGGTCTGTGGCCTAGTAACCCCACAAGTAGGGTTCCCATTATTATTTTCTGAAAGAAGAAATAACCAAAGTCAGGCAAAAATAGTTCCGGAACATAGCCTGGCTCTGACTCCTTTGGGTGCCATAGCCTCTGAAGTCATAAACCCGAGCCCTGTGGCCTGCCACTCTTTCCCTCCCTGACCTTGCATTATAACAGGAACCTAGATGGGCTTGGTTCTCACCCTTGCAGTGTTCCTTGGTGGGGGCCCGACAGGAAGTGAGATGACTTGACGGCTGCACAGGTTCAGAAGGATGTGAAGAGGGCTCTTCTGGGTAGCAGCGAGCACAGAACAGGCTGCATGCCTGGACAGGGAGAGCAGGAGAGCCAGGGACACCCTTTAGGATGCCTGGGGCGGCCTGGTGGAACTGAGATGGACATCTGGGAGAGGGAGGCCATTGAGAATGAGAGAGCACCTCCGGCAGGGTGTCCTTTGCGGCATGAGACTGCTGTTAGGGAGAACACTGAGCAGAAAACTGGGTCATCTGCCAAAAGAAACTGTAGACTCGAGGATGTAACTTAGTGGTGGAGTGTTTGCTGAGTGCGTGTGTTTAATCCCTAGAACGAAAAACAAACAAATAAAAAGCTATGGAAATGGAGGAGCTCTCCAGGGAGAGGTGGAGATTGGAAGAGGTAGAACACGGGCGTGGTGGCGGCCACACTTAACTCTTTGCTATGCTTAGCCTCCATCTTCATCCTGCCTGGTCCCAACACCTGAGCACCCTCCCCCCTCCTCCAACCCAGTTCCCTTCCCAGCACAGCTGGAACAGCTCCTTCTGCTCCTGTAAGCACCTGAACGTCCTAGAGGTCTGGTGATGAATGAACAGATAAAACACTGTTGCTGATGCTGCCGGTTCCAGTGAACCAGGCAGGCCGAGCAGTTCCAAAGTTCTTTTACAAAACCAGAATATATTTCAGAAGCAAAAAAATTCAGAGGCTATGATAACACCGTGTGTCCACCTTCCAAGCTCTGCCCAGCTCCTCTGCAAATCACCGACTGCAGAGAAGACCAGAATCGACGTGACGTGTCAGATGGAGTTTCCTGGAGACATAAAGTTAGGACACCAGCTCAGCTCTCTGATGGTGGCATGACACCTTTTTGTTGTGGTTTTAATAATTAAGCTTTACATTTAAATCATGTATTTACTGTTTGTGTGTGTGCATACGTGTGCATGCATAAGCCACAGCACATGCATGTAGAGGCAAGAGGACAAATTACAGGAGTTAGTTCTCTCCTTCCACCATGTGGGTCCAAGGGATCAAACTCAAGAAGTCAGGCTTGGCAGCGAATGCCTTTCCCCACTGAGCCACCTCACTGGCCCAGCTGCTGTTTGAAATAAGCATACACGTTGTATTTAATCACTGATGCCATATAACGCCTTCTAATGAGTATATAAATCTGTCACTTAGGCCAGTCCCACAGATTCTTAGCTCAGAAGGTATTGTGAACAGTTCCTCCTTTACTGCCTTGTCATACATCCTGTCTGGAGTGAGAGCTGTAAATCAGAAGTCAAAAGGGTACCTTCATGAGAAGAATTTGGGAACTTCCTTGGGGTAAGCGGATTGTCTCTGCTGGTCATGTTTTCTCAACTCTGATGGCGAGCTGGTATCTGATAACCAATTTTTCCTGAAGCAAACTCTCTTTTTCTCTCATTATAAAAAAAGAACATAGCAACACTGTAAAATGTAAGTAAAGGGAGAGGGAAGAGGAGCAACAGAGAGGGCAATGGAATTTATTCATAAAAGCAGAGGGGAGGAAATACATGCCATATTTGCAGGGGAAGAAAAAAAATTAGCAAAAGGAGGAGCAGGAGGTGGGGTGGAGTGGGGAGGGCACTGGAGAGATAAATAAGAACAAAATCTAGTAATAATATGGATGGAAATGTCAGAGTGAAATCCATTCCTTTGTATGCTAACCGAAAGTATTGGTAAATTCTGGGGCTGGTGATGTGGCTTAGTTGGTAGGGTGCTTGCCTGGCAGGCGTGAAGCACCCAGTTCAAGTCCCAGCACTGCCTGTATAAACCAGGTGTGGAGGTGCAGGTCTGTAATCCTAGACCCTGGGAAAAAAAGGCAGGAGAAATCCAAGATCATTTTTACTGTATAGAAAATTCTTACTGTATAACAAAGACTGTATTATCACAGACCAGTAAGGACTACATAAGATTAATATAAGGGGGGGGGGGAGGAGGAAGAGATAAAGAGAGAGAGGGAAGTGAGAAGGGAGGGAGATGAGATAAACCAACAGAACCAATGAAAATCTTGTAATTGAGTCAGGGGGGAGCTATAAAAGGTGAAATGAGGGGTATGTAAATCTTTGAAACAATGAGCTTTGCCTGGGAAGGTTCACAACAGGGATGCTGTCAATCTGGGCCTGGATAGAGATGGTTACTAGGCTGATATCCTTCCTGAATTATTCGTGAGTGTGTAAGGTTGGAGTGGCCTTTGTGTAGAGTTGTATTAGCTATTTTGTATCATTGTGACCAAAAGTCACAATTTAGGGAAGGAAGGGTTTTGTTTGGGTCAGAGTGTCTAAGGTTGCAGTCAGCCATGGTGGGGAGGGGGTGGTGGGATACAGCTGCTTGCATCACAGGGGCCAGAAAGTAGAGAGGATGCGCGCTCTCCCAAGAGCCTCTACTAAGAGCGCTCTTTCCCTCCTATTCCAACCTGCCTTCAGGCTGTGGGAGGTGCCTTTCTCCCCTAGTTAATCCTGTCTGGACACCCTCTCCCAGATACACCCAGAGATGTGATTCTTTCCTAATCTCCTTAGCCCTTCTCAGCCAGATCAAGTAGACAACCAAAATTACTCATCATAGTTGTGGTTCTGGTAGAATCTTTATAAGCAGGATCCCTTTCTTCATAATCTCCTGGCTTGATTTATCCGATCGTTTGGTTTTTATATTAGGATAGACACATGCAGTTCCACATGGTTCTGGTAACTACCAGGCAGGTGTGTGGCCTCGGGATTGTGTAGAGAAAATACCTTCCTCTATCATCAGCATTTTCTTATAAGATCTCATAAAGCCAGGAGTGATTGCCCATCACAGAAGGCGGCTTTTGGAGCGAGATTTTTGGAACTTTAAGAAATCATTCTGAGGCCATAATTTCCTACCCTTTGATATCGTTTTCTTTCACAAATATAGGGGTTAGAGACCACAATCCATTTAGGGTTGGAACCCTTTTTTCCTGACTGGGGCTTCAGCACACTTGTCTATATCTGTGGTCGCCAGTGTGCTAAAGAGGGTTAGCGGGCAGAGATCTGAGTTCAAACTGGAGGCTGCATGGATTGTTCCAGGAACAGCAGTAACACAACTGCCAGTACTCAAGATCTCAGAGAGACACAAGTCTCTATTCAGTCACCAAAATAAGGAGCAATTTAACAAGTTCTCTCTATTAGCTGGGGATGGCGGGAGTAGAGGAGCAAATTTAAAATGTCCCGCCCATTTACAACTATTTAACAAAGCTGGAAAGGAAAGCAACCTCCTCCTCTCCCTTTTCAATGTATGTGTTAGGTTTAAATTCTGGTAAATGGGAACCCACCGCCACTGATGTACTAAGCCAATCAAACCAAATTAATAAGTCCAGGCTTATTCTGAGCACGGCATTCCTGGGTGGTCCCATGGAAAGTTGAGGAAACCAGGAGCTTGTTCTCTGAGGAGCAGTTTAAATACCCTGTGGGTCCCATGGAAAGTTGAGGATACCAGGAGCTTGTTCTCTGAGGAGCAGTTTAAATACCCTGTGGGCATGGTCTTGAGCATCTCTGGGGAGGGGTCATCGTTTGGTGGGCTTTCTCAGGAGTGGAGTCTAGACTGAGGGAACTCTGCTGGGAGGGGACTTGGGATGGAGCCTCTACCTGAACATTCTAGACTCAGAGTTGTGGATATATGGATGCCAGGGACTGGTGTGATGCTTCCACCCAAACATCATGGCTATAATTAAAACATTTTACTTTGTTGTTTTGAGACAGAATCTCACTATGTAGTCAAGGACAGCAATTGTCATGCCTCAGCCTTGTGAAGGTTGAAATGACAGGTACATGGTGCCACATCTGGTATGGGTATCCTACCTTTTTCTTTCTTTCTTTCTTTCTTTCTGCCCTAAGTTTTATTGGTAGCGATTTATTTATTTATTTGTTTATTTATTTATTTTATTTTTCAAGACAGGGTTTCTCTGTGGGACGGTCCTTGCTGTTCTGGAACTAGCTTTGTAGTGCCTCAGACTCACTGAGATCTGCCTACCTCTGCTTCCCAAGTGCTGGGATTAAAGGTGTGCACCACCATTGCCCAGCTATTGGTAGTTCTCTTGATGTTTAACTACATACTTTTTGGAACAATTTGTTGCCAGTGAAAACAATTAACCATTAGTGTTTTAGACTGTTACTTTTGAAGGATGTTTCTAGCTTTAGTTTCCTCTTCTACGAAACAGGAAAATTAATAATGTGAGTTTCAATAAGGGTATTGCAAACATAACCACATCCCTACATATAGGAAGCAGTTTTTGGTGCACAGTAGATGTTCAATAAATATGAAATGCTTCTGCGTCTTGCTAATACTGGATATAAAACTATTTGACAACATTTTGAGTTTACTCAATTATGATTCACATTGGCAAATGTTAAAAATTTTGTTTTTCCCTAGTGTATTTTGTATTCAATAGTTATTGATCTAATTAATGAATGAATGTCTGTGGCTCAGATACATATACTACTATATCGAAAATCACCGATATGACCTTTTTCATTGTACGTGCTCTTAAATACATGTTCTGACATTTGGGAGGCTTTGGGGTAAATTGTGTTCTACTTACCTTTGTTCTTATGATCAAGTAGGCAAAAGGAGTTCAGGTATGGGAAGATGCGTTCATCCATACTCCATTTCTACGGGCATGTTTATTCAATGGAAGCAATGGTTGCAGTAATAGAGTTCCTACTGTCCAGTAGACCCCTCACACTTCGGCTTTGTAGTTAGTATCACACTTTTGAGTTCAGCACAGTGCAACCATAACCCCCCACGCCTTTCAAGCATTCTAGCTGTTTGCCCTGATGCTCTGTCCTATTTCCAGGGAGGAAGAGGGCCAAGGTCTGGGTACCACACAGTGTCTTGAAGAGAGATGGCCTATTCTTTGAGGGAGACTGACAGTTTGTGTGTGTGTGTGTGTGTGTGTGTATGTGTGTGTTGTTTGTTGTTATTGTTTTGGAGCTTCAAGTTTCTGCTTTTTAAAGATTTATTAATTTTTATTTTATGTGCATATGAGTGTTTTGCCTACATGTATGTCTGTGTGTCTACACGCATGCCTGGCGTTTGTGGAGACCAGAAGAGGACATTGAATGCGGCAGGAATGGAGTTAATGATAATTGTGAGCTGCCATGTGGGTGCTGGGAACTAAACCTTGGTCCTGTGCAAGAGCAGCCAGCTCTTTTAACCACTGAGTCATCTCTACAGCCCCATTGTGTGTGTGTGTGTGTGTGTGTGTGTGTGTGTGTGTGTGTGTGTATTACCTGAGGCAGGGTCTCATTGTGTTATTGTGTTACCTGGGCTTGTCTCAAACTGCTTGGTTCTTACAATTTCCTTGCCATGGTCAGAGGAGCTGGATTACATGTGTGTACCTGACCTTAACACACAGGCAATTGAACACGGTGCTCCAGGTAAACAATGCCTTAGCCCAGCTCCTGCTGTTTCAGCAATGTGTCACTGCCCTGGACCCTCAATCCTGTCTCCAGATGCTTGTGTGTGGTATGTCACTTCTAGTCTGAGACCTTTCTGCGATCAAGTTTCTCCTATTTAAAGAACCAAGCTTGTAGCTGGGTGGTGGTGGCACAAGCCTTTAACTCCAGCACTTGGGAGGCAGAGGCAGGCGAATCTCTGTGAATTTGAGGCCAGCCTAGTCTACAAGAGCTAGTTCCAGGACAGGCGCCAAAGCTACACAGAGAAACCCTGTCTTGAAAAACCAAAGCAAACCAAACAAAATAACCAAGCTTGTAAGAGAAGGCTCAAATATTCTTTGCATGTTAGCCCAGAGAAGTGGAAAGACCAGTCCTGGGAAATGCCTCCAGCTCTTCCCTGCCTATGACCCTGAGGTTCAGGCCTTCCTGGAGAGTGAGAGTTATAATTATGGTAGCCGGCTGCACCTGGGACAGGTGGGTGTAAGAGGCAATGTCGTGGGCAGAGCAGGAGAAGGTTCTGGAATTCACTAGCACAGCAGCTGTGTTGTGCTCCGTGTCATAGTGTCCCACCGCCCGGAACGAGAACTGGGTGAGAGGCTAAGGAAGAAGCCAGCACTGAAGTGATATTATTTTCCCTTTTGTGAACAGGAAATTCCGATTTGCACATTGGATTGGCCCAACCGCGTAGGAGAAATCTTGTGGGATGTGTTTTTTGTGACTTTCAACTTCCTGGTGCCAGGGCTGGTTATTGTGATCAGTTACTCCAAAATTTTACAGGTATGTTTGCTTCAGTGCTGTTCTGATCTTCACTCCGTCTGGGCCTTTCTGGTAGAACCTTAGAACTTCCAGGTCGGAGCATACCTTGGAGGTTCTAACAGTCCCATCCTGATTTGCTGGGCAGACTTTTTGCTACCCCCGTAACAGTGAGGGACGAGAGTTTGTATATTTATGTTGGCTTTTGTTTTCTAAGTCAACTATGTTCTGAACCTTTTCATCATTAAAATATTACCAGGTTATAAAAACATGAAGTTGAAAACAGGCACAGAGCTGTGTAATGCAAAAGTTGAAAATCTATTCTCTTCCCAGCCTTAATGACCCAGCTGTGGTCTCTGCTGTCATTCAGCACCACGGACGCTTGTGTGTAGGTTCAAATGGTCAGGTGGCTGTTGGCACTGTTTACTGTTCTGATCAGAGAGCAGGTGCTGCGGCTTGATAATGTCCTTTTTCCTTTTACCCAACACCGTATCAGATCTTTCTCTATCAGTTCCTGTATCTTATCTTGTTGGTTAAGAGTTACACAGCCTTCATCATATAGGTATGATATATTCATTTTGTGGACTTTGGAGTTGTTTCCACTGTTTTCCCACACAGCGGTAATCTACAACGTCTACTCTGTAAGGTTTTTTTTTTATGGAATTATGGAAGTATCATATACTAATATAAAATCACACCCAGCTTATGTATTCTGCTCACAAATTGAACACACTCATAAAGCGGCTCCTGGATTGAGGACAGAACTTGGCCAAAAGCCCTTCCTGTCCCAGTGACCTAATCCTCAGGAATGCCCACTTCAAGTGTGTATGGCACAGGAATAAATGAAGTCTCCTAGAAAAGTAAATGTGTGTACATAGACATATAAAAGATGGGCCAGACTCTGCTTCCTGGCTCATAAGGCATGCTCTGTGCATGGAAAGTACCACCCAACAAACACAAGCATGTACAGTTAAGTTCACTTGTAAGGTGTGCCTCCAAGCTCTTGAGCCCTCTTGGAGCTGGGCAGCAGTTGAAATTTATAGCATCTTTTGTGTGGGTTGTGATCAACAGGTGTGTTGAAAAGGCCCTGATCACCTTTTGGCCACTTTTATGACCCCTTTATGGTTGTGTAAGCCTTCTCACAAACATAACCCACCCCAGGCTAATCTCACCTAAGGCTGCTGGCTCCAGGTTCTGTGGGAGATAGTGCCCTTGATCTCTGAAGAGATCCAAGCTTGGGTTTATTCTAATATGTGAGGCAAATTCCAGAGTATGGAGCCCTGGAAATTGCATACAATGGATGGTTTCGCATATTTAATGTTATAAAAGAATTAAGTAGTATTACAAAATCAAAATGAAAGAAGAGAAAGAAAAGGATAGAAAAATAGAATACATTTTTACGTTTGTACTGTTTTGGTTTTGTTGAAGCAGGGTCTCTGTCTATAGTTCCGGAAAGTCTGTAACTCCCTATGTGGACTTGATTGGCCTGGAACTTGCATTAATCCTTCTGCCTTTGCCTCCCAAGTGCTAGGCTGCATTTTAATTGCTTTTTTTTAAAACAAACAAACAAACAAACAAGTATGTGAGTAGTGTTTCTCACGCAGGAAACACTAACAAATCTTATCCTAACAAGATCCTCAGGTGACATGACCCAGAGATGTTGTGCAGTTTACCCTAAGTCACCGGGCTTATAGGTGTCAGCTTCAGTATTTAAACCCAGGCAGACTGGCCCCAGAGTCCCATCCAACACTTCTACTCCTCAGAGGTTTGTTAAGAGTGCTACGTGCAGAATGTTGGCAGGGAGCGGGTGTGGTTCAGGAGTGTGCAAGTTAAAATCTGCCTAGAAGGATCTTTGATGAAGAGGCAGCTGGACGATGATGCTATGATCTAAAGCAAGAAACTCCTCAGCACAAGGGAGAGGGTTTCTGTGTCAGCACCAAGCTAAAGCAGGCTGTTAGTTATTGCACAAACATGAAGGACCAGTGAGGGGCCTGGTGGAGAGCAAAGAACCATGGGAATAGATGAGGCTTGGAAGGTTCTTTTAAAATTACCGAGCTTTATGCCTGGTGGTGCTGGCTAATGCCACCTTTAATCCCAACACTAGGGAGGCAGAGGCAGGCAGATCTCTGTGAGTTCGAGGCCATCCTGGTCTACAAGAGCTAGTTCCAGGACAGGCTCCAAAACTACAGAGAAACCTGGTCTAAACACCACCACCACCCCCAAAAAATAATTACCGAGCTTTGTGTCTTTACTGCTGGTTTACTTTGCTGTGTTGCTTGAGCCTGCTACTTGCATTCTTTGCACCCCATTTCAATCATTGCAAATTGGCAGCTGATGTGGGAGTGTCATATATCAATCTGTTGATTTCATTGGTTAAGCAATAAAGAAACTGCTTGGCTGACCCTCATAGTTTAAAACATAGGTGGGAGGAGTAAACAGAACAGAATGCTGGGAGAAAGAGGAAATGAGCTCAGACTCGACAGCTCTCCTCTCGGGGGCAGATGCCTCTGAGAGATGCCATGCCCCTCTCCTGGGCAGACACACGCAATGAAGCTCAGACCCAGGATGGACGTAGGCTAGAATCTTCCTGGTAAGACCGGTGCTCACAGATTATTAGAGATGGGTTGATCGGGATATCAGAATTAGCCAGTAAGGGCTAGAGCTAAAGGGCCAAGCAGTGTTTAAATGAATACAGTTTGTGTGTTGTTATTTCGGGCATAAGCTAGCCATGTGGCCGGGGTGCTAGGGACGCAGCCCCGCCGCTCATACTACTACAGGCAGCCTTAGTTTCTAGGGTGAAGTTGCATAAGGCGAGGCTGTGAGAACTGCCCTCCTGGGCACAGTAGGCCCTGAATAGTACGGCAGATGCTATTTGCTAGGCTGGGCTGTTCTTCTAACCCTTCCCTCTGCAAGGGACAGCAGCATCTAAGCTCCCCTTGTGGGCTTCCACTTGTGAGACCCGGAGAAGTCAAGAAGGCTCTGGTGACACACCCTCCTGTGGGGAGTGTGATTTCCCCTCCACCGCAATCTCAATCTCAAGACTGGGCCTTTCTGTCAGGGAAGATCAGACAGCCCCTTCAGGATGAGGGAGAGGAGAGAGCCCTCCCTCCACTCCTCTGGACAACAGTGTACCAGCTCTCCCCACACTTGAGTGGAAACTCTCAGCCCTGCACATCCACACCTCAGGCCCCTGCACAGCTTCCATGTGCAGCAAAGGCCTGTGTGGTTTGCAGCTGTGGAAAGCCACCTGAGTGCTAGGTCACAGTCCAAATTTAAACCCCTTGCTTCCTTACACACAAACCAGATCCAGAGCCCCTACCTAATCTGGGCTGTAGCAGGAGGTCACTTGTTCGTCTAGGCCACCTGGCTATCTTAGACCTGAAATAATCACACAGATACTGTTTTAATTAAAACACTTCTTGGCCCATTAGCTCTAGCTTCTTATTGGCTAACTCTTATATTAGTTTAACCCATTTCTACTAATCTGTATATGACCACGTGGCAGTGGCTTACTGGGAAAGATTCGGCATGTCTGACTCTGGCGGCTCCATGGCGTCTCTCTCTCCACGTTCCTTCTCCCAGCATTCAGTCCAGTTTTCTCCGCCTACCTAAGTTCTGCCCTATCAACAGGCCAAGGCAGTTCCTTTATTCATTAATGGCAATCACAGCACAGAGTGGACTCCCACATCACTGGGCAATTTGCCTTCTCCCTGAACCCAAAATTCCCTCCTGACTCATGTGTAGGTGGGAAGTGTGTCAGAGCCTGGACAGGGCCTCACGGTTAGCATCTTCTCCCCAAGAAGGTGCACAGCCCAGGCACACTAAACTGGCCCTCCTGCCCGGCCTTTTCTTCCAGGAGCACAGCTATCGACTCCACTGAACATCAATATTGAATTAGCCACATTCGCTGGTCGAGGATCTATCGCTCCATGCCACCTCACCAGTCTTGCCTCCTCTTCCTGTCTCTACCGCCTCTAACTCAGGCTCCATTTCTGGGCTCGGAGGGTGTTCTTCTCCTATTATCCTATTCTTTAACTGCAAAGCAGCATCTTTCAGGCTGCCCTCTGGAGCTCCATGGGACAACGGGTGTACAGAGAGAGTCCTGCAGACAAACTTAAGAAGTACTGAATTAGCTGCATGGGATTCTCTGCTGTGAGACTTGAGAGCCTTTTTATGCTAATACACTTTGGACATCTCCAACACATGAATTAACCAGGTGGTGGTGCTAAATCTGATCACAGAGCCCACTTCCGCATACAGAGCGTCTCTCCTGCTGGTCCTGCACAGAGCCCCCAGTAGGAAGCCCTGCTCTAAGCTTCACTGGTTCTGACCTGAGCAACGGTTCGGAGTCGGCATCCAGCTGCCTCTTCCCCTGCTGATCTTGTTTCATGTGCTGGGCAGTGACTATTTTTGCCCTCTTCCCTCTCTGCTTCCTCTTTCCTTGTGACTCAGACATACCATACGTTTTCAGTAATATTTTTCTTTTTTTTTTCTTAATATTTATTTATTATGTATACAATATTCTGTCTGTGTGTATGCCTGCAGGCCAGAAGAGGGCACCAGACCCCATTACAGATGGTTGTGAGCCACCATGTGGTTGCTGGGAATTGAACTCAGGACCTTTGGAAGAGCAGGCAATGCTCTTAACCTCTGAGCTATCTCTCCAGCCCCAGTAATATTTTTCCTATTGACAGTTTTCCCAAGGGAATAGGTTCTCAGTGATTCCTAAGTGCCTTGGATCAGACTGGGAAGGCTGGCAGCTTGTGAGAAGACTTACAAGTTTACCCAGCAGCTATAAGGATGATAGGCTGTGATGTCTCTGCCGTTGTAACTGTGCTCCTGTGCTTCTTATTCTCCCTTCCACTGGCCACATACACAGGGCGTGGGAGTGCAGTCTGCGCTCTTACTTCTTGCTCTGGGTCCAGCCTCTTCAAGAGAGTTTAGCATCTAGCAGGGAAATATTTCTCGGTAACTATTTGTTGAATGAACCAGTGACGCTGTGGCATGCAGATGGAATTCCCTCTGCTTATCGCAGAGTTTAGCTGAGGGACAAAAATCTGCTTCAACAGAACACGAAGCCTGGGCCTCACTACCTACCACTGGGGACTGTGGTCAAGTAATAGGCTTAGATTTGGGTCCTGAGTTCTGAAGGCACCTGTTGAAGTTTCCAGGTTCTTGTGTTCTAGAAAAAAATAATTGCACCAGGGACACATAATAATAGACATAGGGATAGGTAGATTATTAAGAGGAAGCCATCCCTGAGAATGGGGGTAATCTAATGTAATGAGCTGTAAGAAGGCTTCCGTGTTAAACACCCCCAAAGTGGGCCTCTAGTGCTATAGCCCTTCGTGGGTAATTTACATAGCATTTAGCTCTCCTTTGGTTGTATATTGCACACGTACATGGCAGGCAGGCTTTTCTTGAACATGCTTTGTTGTCGCATGGGGCTTGGTAGGCATTTCCAGTCCTTTGCCATCTGGCTTTTTCATGTGTTTATTGACTCTACTCTCTCCAGTTCTTGCTTTCCTCCAGAGTCATATTTCTTTGGAGGTAGACCTCTGGGAAGGTGGGTCTTCTCCTCTGATGATCCTAACCACCACACTGCTGACTAGCCAGTGAGCGCCACGGAGGAGGCTAAACCCTCAGGGCCCCAGCTTCTGTCAATGGGAATCCCCTTCCCTGCCAGCCTCCAGCTGGTGTGTCCTGGCATGGCAGAGAGGTGCTGGGTGGGAATAGGGTTCCCTCCTGGTCTTTCCAGTGAGTCACAAAAGGTCTGTTTTAAAGATGGACTTTGTTAAAAAAGGTCTAGAGAGAAAAAGTCCGAACCAAGCAGCTGCGTGGGATTAGCACCTCTTACGCCCTAGTGAGCAAAAGTCACCTCGACAGTTCCAGAGAAGTGTGCAACCCTGGGTCCCCCTCACTGAATCCAAGTGTCTCAAAGTGGGTCCCATTGGACATGGGAAAAAACACAACTCTCAGTTCAAAGACGATGAGACATAATTTATTCTGGAGCCAAATATGAGTGGCCATGGCCCAGGAACATAGATTCAGGGTTCCCCTATGGTAATTGTATGGTAATTGTTTTGTAAAGTGTTTTTTTTAAATAGTAACAGAAAAAAGAAAGTCACAAACCAAGATGGTTTTCAGATAGCATTTAGTGGGAACATCAGGTGGATGAGCTCCAGCCAAACAAGGAAACCTTTGCTGTAGGCCTCAGATGCCTTCTGATGACATCCTTAGCTCTTAGTGGAAGCGACTGGCCTGTTGAGTAAATACATTATAAATGGCTGCACCTGTGGGTCTCAAGGCTCTTAGGCCAGACAAAGAGGCAGGTGTGGAATCAGGGGTGCTCAGAGTGGCCAAAGATAAATTATAACTGGGCTTGGCTCTGCAGCAGTCCGGCCTCTCTGATGTCACCAACATTCTAGTTGGCTCATCAGCCCTGCAGAAGGGTTAGTGGCAGGTGTAGCTCCTTCCAGGAACTTTTCTTCACAGACATTTTGTGTTTTACCAAGTTCTCAGTGGTCACAGAGCACTTTCTTATGAGCGCTGCCCCCTCCCAATGTGCAATATGCCAAAGTGAAGAGGAGCATGGGCATCCCTATGTGGGGCTCCCAAGGTGGGAGAACCCTAGGACACCCACCCCGTTTGTTTTGAGGGTCAGAGTTAACCCCCAGAAGGTAATGGAGCACTTCATAAAAGCACTGGAGGCATTCCACCAAAGCCAGAGACATTTGAAACCCTGGCTAGATGCTGATGAGTCTGGCTGTCTAATGTGGGCTGGGGAGCAAGGAAGGACTCACATTTTACGACAGTGCCTCATTTTCTTCCTGATTGTACAAACTGTGGGGACTGTGGCTTGAGGAGGAAAAGCAGCATCTGTTGGCGGGGCGGGGGCGGGGGGCGGGGGCGGGGGGCGGGGGACCTCCATGCGCTTGGCCAGGAGTCAGCCGCTTTGTTTATCACAGCCACCTTCTGTCCTGCACCTGCAAGAGCCCAGGCCCCACGGAGCTGGAATAGTCTGCTGAGCCACCCCCACCAGCATGGCGGAGTAGGCGGGGCCCTAAGTAGTATGGACCCCCTAGGGAGGGGGCTGTTACTATTTAGTAGCAGGAAAATGAGTTTCAGCTGGTAACTTACATTTCCTGCGAATCAATTTGCAAGAACAACAGCGGTGTGACAGCGCAGGGGCTATGCGAAGATTAAAGGTGACAACCAGTGAAATAAATGTCTCACACGTGGCGGGGCGCCAAGAGGAAAGCGCAGCCGTCCTGATTGCTCTCTTCCTGGCGTTTTGGTTGTCAGGCACGTTCAGAGGGTTCGGTTCACTGGGCACCTGCTGTCCTTGTCTCTATCACAAACAGAGTGAGGGGCACTTGTGCAATCGGGCAGTAGTTAAGCATCTATCCTTCAATTAGGGTATTAAAAGAATTGTGAGGAGAACATTTTAGGCCATTTTGATGAGCTAAACTTGCCCAAATTGTGAGTGATGCTAATGACATTAAAATTACTTTCTCTCTTGAGATGCAGGTTTTAGGAAAATAGGCCCCACACCTTATACAGAATTGGCAATGTGGCTAGGAGAGACAGGGCCTGGGCCAGCCACAGCAACTGAAGTTGGTAAGGACCACTAACATGGTCAAGACATAACCCATTGGCTCTCTTTCCTCGGGACAGAGGTAACAGACTGGCAGGCACATCAGGCCTATAGACAATGTCCTTCACATTCCAGGTTAGGAGTGCCCAGTCAGACTGCAACCCACCGTCTCTAGCCCCACCCCAATCCACCTGGGCTTCCTTCCTCAGTACTATAAAAGAAAAACCAGCCAACAGAAGACCCCTGACTCCCGCCGTGACCTGTGGCTCCAGTTCTTTGTGTTTTCCTGCAGATCACAAAGGCGTCAAGGAAGAGGCTCACGCTGAGCTTGGCATACTCGGAAAACCACCAGATCCGAGTGTCCCAGCAGGACTACCGGCTCTTCCGCACCCTCTTCCTGCTCATGGTCTCCTTCTTCATCATGTGGAGTCCTATCATCATCACCATCCTCCTCCTCTTGATCCAGAACTTCAGGCAGGACCTGGTCATCTGGCCGTCCTTCTTCTTCTGGGTGATGACCTTCACGTTCGCCAACTCCGCCCTGAACCCCATCCTGTACAACATGTCGCTGCTCAGGAACGAATGGAGGAAGATTTTTTGCTGCTTCTTTTTCCCAGAGAAGGGAGCCATTTTTACAGACACGTCAGTCAGACGAAATGACTTGTCTGTTGTTTCCAGCTAACTAGCTGGAGCCAGGTGAACCGTTGTGTGCATGTAAAGGGGGTTGCCTTCTGAGGGAGTCACTGGTGCACCCTGCTTTAAGAAAATCCAACTTCCAATGGCACACATCTTCAGGGCCAGCAAATTAAGGAATGACCACTCCGTATAAAAATATTTTTTTTCGGCTGGGCGGTGGTGGCGCACGCCTTTAATCCCAGCACTCGGGAGGCAGAGGCAGGCAGATCTCTGTGAGTTTGAGGCCAGCCTGGTCTAGAAGAGCTAGTTCCAGGACAGGAACCAAAAAAGCTACAGAGAAACCCTGTCTCGAAAATAAAAAAAAAAAAAATATTTTTTTTCTTAAAAAGACTTTCTATGGGTTGCTTTTTATGGACTTTTTTAGTGTTTGTAATATGATTGAGTTAATAAATTTTTATTTATAACTGTTCCTACATATAAACTTGTACCTTATGACTGCTGAAATAAACCTTGGAGGTGATTCAGGGCTCAAATTTCTTGGTAAAAGGTCACGGCCACCCTAAGTCCCCACCTTGGGTACATAAGGCCTTTAAATAATTTATTCATTCATTCCAAGACTGCTTAAGAAATTTCCAAGGAGTGATTAGACGTGACTTTTTCCCCCCATTTATTAAAAATGGGCAGGAGACATGACTCAATGGTAGTATGATTGCCTAGCAAGTGTGTGAGCCTGAGTTCAACCCCCAGCATTATATATATATACAGAAGCAGCAGCATTATAGACTCAAAGAGGGGAGGATGAGGATGCTGGAGAGGGAGGTCAGGCGTGGTTGCTTTAACACTCCATTCATCAGAGGCCTTTGAAACACCTGCTATGGCTGTGCAATGTTTTCGTGCTTGGAATCTCATGGTAAGGACGAGAGCCCTGGCTCTGTTCTCAGGGAGCTCACCTTCTCATGGGGGTGGGGGACCACGAATGCTAAACAGAAGTCAGTGAGGACTGGAGCACCTTAGAGTGAAGAATCACTAGCAGAAAGTGAGACAGGGTGCTGTGGGGGTGATGGTTGTTTATATGGGGTAGGAAGGGTGGGTTTAGGAAAAACTGAGGAGCAACAGTTGCCTTGAAAGGCTAAGGGCTTCAAGAAAGAAGCACTCATGTGGATTTGGAAGAAGGACCTTTGCGGGAAGAGAGGCTGGCGAGCTCTGTGGTCCAGGAGCAAACCGTTGACTGAGCCTTCTTTGTATTAGATGCTAGGAGAGAGGTGCTGCCCTGGTGCCCATCGACGGATGCCAATGACGTTCCAGCGCTAGGTCAGGGAGGGCCTGGCAGGCCAGCATAAGGAGTTCATGCAGGGTTCGGTGGGCAGCACCGGAGGTTTGTAACAGGAGACCTGAGCCATGAGCACTTTGGCTCCTCGGCGAGGCACAGGTTCAAAGGAACACAACTAAAAATGGAGACAAGGTGCGCAGCTGCTTGAAGGAGGGAAAGTCGATGGGACCTTGAAGGTGCGTGGCTTTCGTGAAGGTTTGTGTGAAATCATCTAGGGCTATGCTTGGGAAGGCGGGACAAACAGTTTGCTTATGGAGGGTGAAGATGAGGGAAGACAGCAGTCAAAGATGCCTCCTGGTTAGAGCCTGGCACTCATTGGACAGTGGAGCAGACGACAAAACTGGGGCAGACTGGGAAACAAATCGGGTTTCATTCAGAGCATGGGCTTGCAATCCCAGTGAGACAGTCCTAGAATAGACTACTGGATAGAGAGACCCAGAATCGGGCCTGGTGTTACAATGTTGTTGGGAAATGCAGATGGTGTTTAGGGACCTGTGGTTTTATGAAATAGTCCCTGAGATGAAGAAAGGGAAGAAACCAGAGTCAAGGACTGAGTCCCAGGATATGCCAACTCGTAGGGCTAAGATTTATGGGGACCATGACATTAAGGACAAAATAACAAGGTGTCTTTGTTCTTATATGGTTAATAAATGTGATACATTGGCGCTCTGTTTTGAAGGCATATGTGAGTATCTTAGGTCTGTGACATCGAACTGAAGCTCAGGAGACAGGCCGTGTCAGCTTGTTCTACGAGAGTAAAAAGCTGGACTTTTCTCATGCATGGCTACTTGCTTCCTCTGCCTCTGCTGGAGAACAAGGCATGCGGGTGTTTGGTGTGAGGTCCCCATGGTCCTTAGAAATATCAGCACCCCCACCTCCAAAACACTTCACAGATGTCCTCCTGTCCCATAGAGCTATCACAGCTCCTTCCCATGCTCACAGACATTGTGTGGCCCCTCACTCTGTCCTGTCATGCAAGGATTAATTCCTTCCTCAAGTCTAATGAGAGAAGCCACACAATCAGCCCCAGATCTCCCAGCTCCAAAGTGGATTGAACTTAAAACCAAGATCCTCTGGAACCAAGGCTGTCTGCTGTTCAGTTTTGGCCCCATCTGAAGTACAAAGTGAATCATGCCAGTGAGAGCAAGCTTCCCTGTGCTCGGTCTGACTCATGTTTCTCAGCCTCCCAGGTCTGGAGAGAGGTGAGCCTTCTGTCCTGCTCACCTCATGGGCCCTGGACTGAAAGCCTTGGGTCTGATGGCCTGGTCACACTTACTTCCTCTTGGGGTTTCAGTCCCTTAGTAGTGCTGTTGTTAAGGCCTTCCCGGATTAAGGAGGAAAACCTTTCTCAGGAAGTTAGGAGCCAGTCTCTAATATAGAGATCAGGGATGTCTAGGTCAGGTCAAAGGTCACAGAGACCGGGACGAGAGAATGTCCTGGCATCGAAAAGTGCAGCCCACCGGCAAGCAAACCACAAATAAGTCTTCAACTCTAGGAAGATGGTGACTATACGTTTAATAAATCGAGTTTGGAATCCCGAGCCTCAAACGGTCTCTCTGGGAACCTCAGTAAGATAAACGTTTGTGTGAAGAGATTCAGTCATTCTCATGCATGTGTTTATCCTACCGATGACAGCTGAGCGTCCGTCCACCTAGAGGAGGTAAGGAGAGGTGGGGACGCTAGACTTCTGAGATAAATAGAGATGAAGATTGGACGAGAGTTAATCAGAAGTTGTCAAAGGAAACTTCGCATCCTTGATGTTGCTACAAACTGTTTCTTGAGGGTATGCTTTGACAGTAGCCTGAAATACAGAAAATAAAACCATTAACGACAGACAGCTGGACAGCGCTTTTGCATATAAATGAACACCCAGGCAGGCTTAGAGCCAGCGGCCCTTCATATGCTTCTGTGTGGCTGTACTTCACAAATTCTCTCACACTGATCCTGAAGGTCTTTGAATTCTCCAGGGAGCAGTCACGCTGAAGGCATGGGACCTGCTGCATGGTTCGGTTTCCTTTTATGCTGACCTCTCTGCATCCCCAAGTGCCTTGAAGCCCATCCTCCTACCTTGGGACACGAGGACCATGCCAGGCTAACGTCAGCCTAAGTAAGGTCATAGTCTTCATGATGTTCCTGCCCTGTGTCACCAGGAGGCACCACAAGGGACTTCAAGAGTGACAGAAATCTCAGTTTCTATTTGACTTAGCTATCGACTGGAGCTCTCTGGCAATGTACGTAGCTTTTCTTAGACTCCATTTTTCTCATTGGTGGAATATGTATAGCTAATGTTCCTACTTTATAAAGGATGTCCAAGGTTTACCTGAGGTGACTTAAGGAAAGGCTTAGTGCTTGGAAGTGACATAATCCTTCACTAGCCCCACGTTCAGCTCCCCACCACCCCAGGGTGGCACTTTCCTATCTCTGTATGTCTGAGCTCACATTGTAGGCACACCGGACCATTGAGATGCCCAAGAAAAATGTTCTTTTTCTAAACTTCAGCGTGACCATCTTTGGATTTTGAAGTCCAACTGCCCACAGAAGTGAGTGCATGCTAGTCCAAAGTACACAGCACACTTCTCCACGCTTCCGAGTATTAAATTAGGATCAGTTAAGGGCAACAGCTATTACACCATCCCTCTGTTATCCCAGGGGCTTTCCCTAAGCAACCCAGGAGGCTAATTGAGTGATCCTTGATTTTGTAAAGAATAAAGAACATTGCAGGCACCCATCTCTTCAGGACTTGCTACACTGCTGTTTTTGATTATGGTTTTTGTATAAAATGGCTGTATGTTCCACCCAGTTCTTTCCTGGGGACACCTCGTCACCAACACACTCTAATTCCTGCGGAACACTTTCTGTGGGTTGTGGCACCAGGAGTAAACAAAAGGAAAGGAGAGTGGCCCTGAGGTTCTGTTTACCAAAAGTGCCAAGATTTGGGGGGAAAAGACCGTTGGTTCCTTCTCCATGTGGCTGACGACAAAGCCCTGGCAAAGATTTAGTCAAGAAGGGCCAAGATAGGACCAAAGGGGACTCCGAAGATCACCCTCTTACACAGATGCAGCGCCCTCCTATTGGCCCAGCCCAGCCACGCCCCCTCAGGAAGAGCTGCTCACCATTGTGCTCGATCCACCGGTACTGCCTTTCTAGGCACAGCTCCTCCTGCCGCTGTCTCACCAGCCTCCGCGTCTCCGGGGTCAGGCCGTTGGGGTCACGAGAAAATACGAAGGAGTAGCTGTCCGCACAGGTGCCGTCCAGATTCAGCAGGCGGCAGGAGTACTGCAGCGCGAAGGTGTCGTAGTCCGTGTCGATGATCCAGTGGTCGTCGTCTGTAAGTCAGAGAGCCACAGAGGGCCTGGAGGTCTGACCAACTTGTTACCTACCCCGGACTCCGTGGAACTGGCTGCCTTTCCTTAGCGAGTGGAGGCTGCGGAGATTCCTGACCGCTTTTGCACAAGTGGGCAAAAGAGAAAGGAGCTTGCTCTCCTTTACAGAAATGAGTCTTGGCACACAGAGGGCACCTTGTTCATGCCAGTGATAAGAGAAGTCACAAATCCTGTCCTGGTGTGGAGGACACCTTGTTCACATCAGCAACTCCTTGATAACAGCACAGCAGTTTTCTAAAGGACAGCTGAAGATGAACTTCCATCTTTACTACCTAGCGTCCACTAACAAGAGTCTAATGTCTGCCGGCCCTCAACTTATGCCATCCCCAACTACAGGCCACAACTTTTCAGTGCTCTGAAGAATCTACCTCCCACGAGCTCACGTCACTGGGATAGAGGACGCCAGCCGATGATAAGAGATTTTCAGAGTCTACTCTTATCCTTACTTAGGAACTCTATTCACTTCCCTGGGTTGACAAGTGGGATGCCTGGGGGCAAAAGATGCTCCTTATCCACCTTCAAGTACTCCTTGGGATTGTATTCTGGGGGCGGGGCTGAGCAGATGGCTCAGTGGGCAACAGTGCTCGCTCTGCAAGTATAAGGTCCTGAGTTTCAATTCCCAAGTACCAGGCATGGCTGTGTGGGTCTGCAAACCTAGCGCGGGGAGGCAAAGACAGGCAGATCCCCAGAGGTCACTGGCAAGCTTCGGGTCAGGGGAAGACTCTGTCTCAAAGGAGTAAGACCAACAGCAAGACTTCTGATACCCAGTGCTCTGCTCTGGGTTCCACACGCACAGGCTGGTTCACG